CCCTGCCATCTTGAGCTTAGCAGCACAACAACAAACGGCCGTTTTCACGGCCACCAATATCTTTAGAAAAGATGCTTCTCAACAGACGTAAAAACGAAATAAATAATTAAAAAAAAAAATTTTTTTTTACAATTATAATATTGCACAGGGTGAGCGAACTGAATGCAAAATTCGCATCAACAACCTTTCATTCATTCAAAAACTAAACACAATATATATAACATGATTGATTTTTAAGAAATCACTGTCTAGTTTTGCATAAATTATCCCATGTTTTACCACTTTGGTTGATGTCCCTAACATATTATTCTGACTAGACAGTGATTCCTTACATTTGCATTTCGTTCTGAAATGAAATGGTAGATTTAGATCTTAAAAATGTAGACATAGATTCAAATTACACGAGGACTCCCATGCCAGTTTTAATAGTCCTCGCCCACTGCCGTCAAACACACAGGCAGCCGCCGCACGAGATTTACATGCACATTTGGCCTCCTTAGCGTCAAACACAGAGATGTGCAGATGCGCACGAGATTTGCATGCATATTAAGATTTCAACTCCGCTAGCTTTCAAAGAGTTATCACAGAGCAAAAAAAAAAAAAAAAAAAAAAAAAAAAAATATTAATAATTATGGAAAGTTTTCATGTAATACTTAATGTATGTTCAGTAATAAGTAAGCAAAGATAATGTTCGTAATCCAGTATTTTTGGAAGTTTGAGTGTCAGATTGCTCATCATATTAGATTTTTAAAGCCTTATTTTAGGGTCGTTTTTGATAGACATCTATTACAAATATGTTTTATGTATTATCCCCTCTCTTCTGAAGATAGGTGAAGCAACATATTTCCTTACTTTATTGTGTACATTGCCGTTTTAATTAAAAAAGCAAATTTGCCATTTAAATGATACATTTCAAGTAAAGGTTGTATCTTATACTAATTAAAAAAATAAAACACTTCTAGATTCCCAATGTTTCTGGGTTTACTGATAACAGCACAGAATTTGCACTCTTAGAGAAAATAAAATCTATGTATTTATTAAGTCGAGTTTTCATTAAAAATATAATACATTTCTGTTAACAACCACATCGTTTCTCAACACTGTAGAGAAGGAATCTTTTCGAAAAATTTGTGTGGCCCTGATAAGGGCCGTTTTGTTTGAGTGGACTGCAAGTGTGCAGTTTATTTACTGCTTGTGTACTTGGTGACGGCCTTGGTTCCCTCGGATACAGCGTGCTTGGCCAATTCTCCGGGCAGAAGGAGACGGACAGCTGTCTGGACCTCTCTGCTGGTGATGGTAGATCGCTTGTTGTAGTGAGCCAGACGGGAGGCCTCGGCAGCGATTCTTTCAAAGATGTCATTGACGAAAGAGTTCATAATGCTCATGGCCTTGCTGGAAACACCGGTGTCTGGGTGGACCTGTTTTAGCACCTTGTAGATGTAAATGGCGTAGGATTCCCTCCTCTTCCTGCGCTTTTTCTTATCCCCAGCTCCTGTCCGGCGTGACCATCGCCCAGGGTGGTGTCCTGCCCAACATCCAGGCCGTGCTGCTCCCCAAGAAGACCCAGAAGTCAGCCAGCAAGTAAAAAGTCTGTGTACGACTTGTATATACCAAACGGCCGTTTTCACGGCCACCCAAATTTTTCGAAAAGATGCCTCTAAGATCAGACGCCAAGAAACGAAACTTGAATAATTTTATTATAATAGTAAACACACAATACATGCCATCACATAATGGAATTAAAATTCTATATATGAGTTTAATCTCATGAATGGACTACTATTGTTTAAGAAAACACACTTTACATACAAACGAGAAGATCCCACAAAATCGAATGAATTCTGTACCAACATAAGTGCACTAGAACTGCTGAATATTGAGCAAACTCTAGACAACAAAATATCAGACCCTGATAATATTCATAAAAGCGATGTAGATCTTCTGTTTAATAACACGGCTAATCTATTACTATCCGCGGCAAAAACTACATTTGGTACATTTTTACCACGCACTTTTGATACTGATAGAAATAAAAGAACTAAACAATGGTTTAACGATGATTGCTACAAGGCAAGAAAATTTTGTAGAAAAACTAAACGTAGATACAAATTATATGGATCTAATATTTTCAAACAACAATTGGAAGATGCCCAAAGAAAATATAAATCTACTCTAAATAAAGCATACAAAGATTATAGAGCTAAATTGCAACGTAAAATCAAAAAACTAAGAAGTTCAAACCCAAAAGAATATTGGAATATTGTAAATGGTAAAGGACCTAAAGAGCACCATAACATAAATATTGTAGATTTTTATAATTATTTTAAGAATGTTAATGAAAATGAACACGAATCAGAAGGTTCAGATGACGAACTATACAATCATATTGTGGAATCGTTTGCTGATAGTTCCTTTATTAATGACCCTATTACCCCAGATGAAATTCTGAGTGTGGTGAAGACAATTAAAAACAATAAATCTCCAGGACCTGATACTGTTATAAATGAGTACATTAAATCTTCTATTAACATTATGGTGTCGCTGTATGTAAAATTGTTTAATCTAGTATTTGATACAGGTATTGTCCCAGAGGCATGGTTAGCTGGAAATATAAAACCAATCTATAAGAAAAAAGGTAGTTATACTGATCCACAAAACTATCGTCCTATAACGTTGTTAAGTTGTCTTGGAAAAGTTTTTACATCTGTATTGTGTAGAAGAATGACCACATATGCGGATAATATTGACCTTATTAAGGAAAACCAGAGCGGCTTTAGGGCAAATTATTCTACCATTGATAACATGTTTGTACTTCATTCATTGATAGAACTGACATTATTTAAGAAAAAGAAATTATATTGTGCCTTTATTGATTTTAAAGCTGCATTTGATAAAGTATGGCGAGTAGGACTGTGGAAAAAGCTTGTAAAATATCATATAACGGGAAAATGCTTTAAAGTTATTATTAATATGTATAATGATTGTAAGTCTAGAATATCTCATAACAATGATTTTTCTGAATATTTTCCTTGTCAAAACGGAGTTCGCCAGGGTGAAAATTTGTCTCCTTTTCTTTTTGCTTTGTATCTAAATGATTTAGAAGATTTCTTAATAGAGAAAAATGTTATTGGATTGAAAAATCTTTCTGAAGAAATTGAACAAAAGCTAGATGTATACTTAAGAATTATGATTATGCTCTACGCAGATGATACTGTATTGATGTCTGAAACTAAGGAAGATCTCCAATATCAACTCAATTGTTTTCAAAAATATTGTGAAAAATGGAAATTACAAGTGAATGTTGATAAAACAAAAATTTTAATTTTTGGTAAGGGCAGACAATCTTCTAATGTAGTATTTACTTACAATAATAATGAGATTGAAATTGTAAAAGAATTTAAATATTTAGGAGTGTTTTTTTCAAGAACTGGTTCATTTTATAGTACTAGAAAATATAGTGTGCAAAGAGCAACAAGAGTTATGTACGCCATAATAAAAAAAGCACGAGAATTAAATTTGTCCATTGATTGTCAAATTGATATGTTTGATAAAATGGTTATCCCTATCCTTTTATATGGTTGTGAGATATGGGGATTTGAAAATGTAAACATTATTGAGAAACTTCAACTAAAATTTTGTAAACTTATACTTCGTCTTAAGACATCTACTCCAAATTATATGGTTTATGGCGAGCTTGGTAAATATCCATTGAGTGTAAATATTAAAATGAGAATGATAAAATTTTGGGTAAAACTGTTGAAATGTAAAGAAACAAAATTATGTCACATTTTATATAGTTTTCTATACAGTTCATCAATGTACAACAATATTAATTGTAGTTCTAAATGGATTGAATGTATACAAAATATTTTACAAGAATGTGGTTTGAACTATGTCTGGATGTCTCAAAATGTAGAAAATGAAAAATGGTTGTTAAATATAATTAAGCAAACACTCATTGATCAATTCATACAAAACTGGAATTCAAATTGTGATGCATCAAGCAAAGGCAAAATTTATCAGTTGTTCACAAATAGTAATTTTACATCTAGGCAGTATTTAAATATCAATGTGTCAACTAATACTATAGTTACATTAGCAAGATTTAGAACCAGTAATCATAAATTACCCATAGAAATAGGCCGATGGAGTAATATACCCTCAAACCAAAGACTATGTACTCTATGTAATAATGATATTGGAGACGAATATCATTACATTATGTCGTGTCCAGCTCTACATGATAGTAGAAAATTGTTAATCCCATCAACATATACAACTCGACCAAGTGCTTTCAAGTTTTCAAATTTATTTTCATGTAAAAAAGTATCCGTTATCAATAACCTTTATAAATTCATTACTATAGTTAATAAAAGAGTTACCCCTCCAGGTTAATGTATACCATACAAATACTAAAGTTTTGAGTCCGAACATTATTTAATCTAAAACAATAAATTTCAACTAGTTACACTATGTAAATCTATTGGGTTTATTATTGAGAGAGTTGGCTGCTTAATTTAGGAAACTGTCATTTTTTATTGTTGGCTTTATTTTTCTCACGCATGCTGTATTATATGTATTGTACATAATTTATGTTTGTATTTTCTCTATACTGTTGTACGGTTTACGAGAATAAACTATTGTGTGAGAAGAACTTCTGATAATTGCCCACAATTCTATGAAGTTCCCTATCCTAATAAGTACACAGTTTAACAGGTGTACTTCAATTTTACATCATTACATCAATCTTGCCCCGATAAATGTTACCCTTGAAAAATAATTAAAATTATCAAGTGTAATTTCTAAGGGAATAATTGGGCAAATAAATGCAAATTAATCAATGTGTATATAAATACATGTATTTAGAGTAACATGTATAAATCTTTCAGAATTATTGAACAATAGAGAGAAAAGACGTCCATCCTCCGCAGCATAAACTAAATCAGACGCACACGTATATCTAAAATGTGAATTTTGTTTAATAATAGTAACAATTATAAAAATAAATAAATAAAAGTGATAAAAATCTTTTCTGACTACACTATAACTTGGACAGATATACCCCAGGTGAAAAGAAAAAAAATCGTGTCATATATTTTGCTGCTTTCTAAATATAATGTCTTTGTTTGTTTTTTTTTTTTACGGCCAAAATGATTATTAAATAAAATTATATTAAACAAAACAAGGCATTTGCATGTATGTATGCTGTAAGTTATAGAATATCATCTATTCACGGGAGAACAATTGTCCGTTTAAGACTGGGACAATTCAATTTTAAAGTCGGACCTTTTATTAAATGTAAATCATCTCGTTAGTTTATTTTCCTGACTTTTCCTTTTGTTAATTTTTGTTCCCCTTTCCCTATATTGTTGTGTATGCCTTCTGCACTGAAATATGAATCAGAAAAACCATGACAAAAATAAGACTTTTGAATGAATCTCGATGTCATTATATTTTCATGCGTCTACTGCCTGACGTTTGGCACACTTTCTGTGTTGATTTCTCACAGTTTGAGGGCGAATTGATAATATCTGCAAGACTTGAAGATTCAAAGGACATTTTCAAAGTTATCTATTGAAATTTTTTACTTAAATCGTAACTGACAATCGTCGTTTCAAGCACATTTTTCAGCTTTTATCGTACCACGAAGTTTCGAGACAAAGGTTCAGATGCCCATTTTCCTGAATTTGAGCACAGTATTAAGAAAGAATTTAAGAATGTAAATAGATAACATGTTAAAGAGATGACTGCAGGTTAGGACTCTGCTTAAATTTTGCGATCAAATCCATTTGCCGAGTTGCAGCGCGGATGCAAATACCCTTCTTGAAACACACGATACATGAACGTACATCGACCTCGGCGAAATGGATGTTTTCTCGGGGGTCCGCGCTCGGTGTAAACAAAAGCAGCAAGTGCGAGTGACCGAGCTATTTTCATTCCCAGCTGTTCCCGAGAAGTAAACCGTTCTCCCGAAGTAGCCATGGCAGATTCCGTTGCTCCAGCCAAGTCTCCAGCTAAGAAGAAGGCCACAAAGCCTAAAGTGCCTGCTGCACACCCTAAGTACATAGACATGATCAGCGCCGCCGTTTCAGCCCTGAAGGAACGCGGGGGCTCATCCAGACAGGCCATTCTCAAGTACATCATGGCCAACTACAAAGTGGGCAACGATGCTAATTTCGTCAACGCTCACCTGAAAATGGCCCTGAAGAATGGAGTTAAAAAGGGTGCTCTCAAGCAGGCTAAGGGTACAGGTGCCAGTGGTTCCTTCAAGCTCGGAGAAAAACCCAAGACCGAGAAGAAGCCTAAAGCCAAAAAGGTTGCCAAACCCAAGGCAGCTAAACTTAAGAAGACCGCTGCCAAACCAAGGACACCCGCTGGTGAGGAGAAGGCCAAGACTCCTAAGAAGAAGGCAGCAGCAGCAGCAGCAGCCAAGAAACCAGCCGGACCCAAGAAAGCCAAATCTCCCAAGAAGAAGGCGACACCCAAGTCCCCAAAGAAGGCTGCAACCAAACCCAAGAAGGCCAAGACTCCTAAGAAAACAGCAGCCAAGAAAACCAAGACACCCAAGAAGGCATCAGAAAAGAAATAAGCAGTCTGAGCATCCCTGTCAGTCTGCATCTAAGCTTATAAAAAAAAAACCTTTTCAGGGCTACCAAAATTTTCTGAAAAGATACCTGTTACAGTTGTTAGGAAATGTTTCAACATGTATGTACAGTAATCCCTCGGT